ATACATCATAATGAGGGTTACCCGTACAATGAATAACTGAAAATAGAAAATAGAAATTGGTGTAGAAACAGAGATAACCCTGGTTGTCGTGAGTATAAAGAAGTGGAAGGCGTATGGAGAGCTAAGATTCGGAGTCTTCGATACGCTTCATCAGGATGATCTGATCAAGATGATGAAGTAACCTAAAGTGAAACACTCCGGAAGTAGAATACTTCTCCATTCGAATTTCCGGGCGACATATACTCGAGGGGACTTATCTCTGAAGACCAAGTTTCGCAACATCCGCGGACTCAACAAAATCCTCAATTATGTCCACCATCATCTACAAATGTGAAAACCAGATATTCTGTAACTGACAGAATTTCAAGTGAACTCGTCCACCAACAAGGTCCACATGCTCTGTCCTGGTTACGAACTCCATTCTCGATTCAGCTTCAAAGGTGGAGTCTGTCTCTACGTCAAGGCAAACCTTTTATGCCAGTGTGTAGAGAGTTTGGAACCGAGAGACTTTGATGTAATGTGGTTGAAGCTAGTCGATACCAAACTGACCAAATGTATCTGCTGCCTTTACCTATTGCCGGCTGATGATGAATAACCTCTTTGAGTTCTTATCACTCAAACTGAACTTCGTTCAGGAAAACCATCCAACAGCTGAAATCATAATCATGAGAGACTTCAATGTACACAACGCAGACTAGCTCAAATTCTCTAACGAGACAGATGATGCAGGTCGTCAAACTGAGGCCTTCGCCATCACTTATGGTCTAGAACAACTAGTCGAACTACCAACCGTCATTCCAGATGTCAACAACCAGTCTGCCAGTTCACTAGATCTCTCCTTCACCAGCAATCCTAATCCGAATAGGATAGAAGTTTGTGCCCCACTCGGAAACTCTGACCACCCCCTCATCTTCACAACCTGCTCTTTCCATGCACTATCCAGCACCACAATTCCTACCCGTCTCATGGGGCATTACAATTTGGCCGACTAGGAAGGTTTTCGTACTATTTTCCAACGATTCCATGAGAGAGAGTATGTTTCTCCTCAGCAAATCCAACACGATGTGCTGAGACAGTTTCTGAGATCATCATTACCCTAACAACACAGGGATGTCCTAGGTGCGTCCCTTTTATGTCCCGCGGTACAAGGAAATAATTGGGACATCCAGGGGATGTCCCGCCAGTAGTTGTCCAGTGGACATCCCACCCGGTACATCCCTAGGTTATCCCATTCGTGTCCCTGGAATATCTGATATCCATTCTTCACATCAGAGAGTCATTCAATATCATCAAAATATTGAGTCGAATTTTTTCGAAAATGTATTTCTTCCGGAAAATAATTGTGATGAAAATGAAGAATATAGTCTCAAAACTTCTCAAGAAATGACCATTTTTCGTGAACAGAGATCGTAAATGCATAATGCACCTCATTTTCAAACACCCAAGAATGATAATAATTATACCCGAATCCTAACAGTTTTATTTATCCAGGTTTCTGTAGTTGTCCTGTTTATAAATCTGTTCAATACATGAATCTTCAGAAGGCATATTGACCAATGGAGTAAGGTGCGTGCCTGATAAGCTGAAGGTCCCGGGTTCAATCCCAACTAGACCTACATTTTTTTTTCTTTTGTCGGAGGGATGTCCTTGGGATATCCTTGGGACGTCCTAGGGATATCCCTTCTTTGTACTCGGTACATCCCAGGGACGTACCAGGAGGGACATCCCTTGGATGTCCTTTTTGTCTGAAAGCGGATGTCCCTGGGACGTCCCTAGTATGTACTTTGTCCCAGAAAAGATATCCCTGGGATGTCCTTATTTGAAATTAGGGACGTCCCTGGGAAGTCCCTAGGATGTACTCGTGTTGTTAGGGATTTGGGAATGCAAACCTACATACAGAGCACTGCAAGAGGAACATCTTCCGATAAGGCCTGGTTCAGTAGAAACTGCTCTAGAGCTGTCGCTTCCTAACAGGCAGCATTCCATCGATGGCAAAAAAATCCAGGCCCTGAGACTAGAGTAGAATATGTCGAAGCTAGAGGCATATGCGATTAGACAATTGGATCGTCAAAGGATGCTCATAATGCCGAAATAAGATCAAAACTTGTCGGATGTCCTAACGGATCCCGTTCATTCTGGTCCTTCGCCAGAGCTGTAGGAAGAAACTTCACTTCCAGTTTACTCTCTTTACCACGGAAGATGGAGCACAAGCCACAACTGCCCAGCAGAGAGCCAATATTCTACTCTACTCTCGATTCATCAGGAAAACAACCTCCAAACATAGCACCAATTGACAGTCATATGCTCGAAATCACTTTCCGCCAAAGTACTTCAACCCCAGAGTGGTCGCGCGCTGAAAATTAACGTCATCGGTCGCGCTACGGTCTTTCAGACCGACGGCTGTTATCGTGATAGAAACAAGTTTTTCAAAATGAACTAAAGCGGCTCCTATTATGTCATTCATTGGATGATATGTATAGAACTATAGTGATGAACAAAAACTTATATTCGAACTCACAAGGAAAAATGAATCAGGAATAGTTAACTAGGTATTTTTTTTTTATCGCTTGGAGCGCACGAAAGGGAATCCCTATAATGTTCAAAGAACATCGCGCGTTCCTAGGGAGGATAGGGACAGGATACTAGGAAGGACTAACTAATCTTGCTGCATACTTTCATTTTCTGCACTATAAACGCATTTTTTACAGTGTGTTCCCTGCGAATATATCTGTTACATTCATTGCATTTTGTCTTGTGATCTTGCTGGTTGTTGTCTATCAGAATCGTTCTCTAAACCAGCCGATTGTTCTGTGTCAGTTGAATGAGCACTTTCTTCGAGTATATCATCTCCTTGATCTATCCCAGAATCACTTTCTCCACCTACAAAAGGCCCCTCATCTGACTTCCCCTTAGAGCCTCAGGAGCCTTCAAACTTCTTTTCCATATGCACCAGCCATTGTAGATCTATAGATTCATGTAGTAATACAAATAAATTTATGTGGTAATGAAACGGCACACTACCGGTCGCTACTCGGTCGAATAGACGGATTGCACACCCAGCAGCACTACAATGTCTAAATAGTCCGACTGACAAATTTAGGCTTGCCTATGGTGAATCAAGAAGGTACTGAGGTGGGGGTACGCAAAGAATGACATATAACGATGATGGAACAGAACTCAGTAATCGTCGGTCGAAAAGACCGACGCGCGACCATTCTCGGGATAAGGAAGATTTCATTGGGTCTCAACACCAACGAAGCTTGTGGCTTCGACGTAATCCTGCCGCTTGTCCTCAGGAAATGTGCTCCCGAACTATCACCTGTTCTCTGAAAGTTGTTCAACTACTCTTACAAATTGGGGATATTCTCGTCCAACTGAAAAATTGAAAGAGTACAAGCAGTTTCTCAAAAAGGCAAGAAGACCCTACCCAGCAACTACAGACCTATCACACTGTTATCTCTCATTAGAAAGATCATGGAGAAAGCTTTGAACATCGAGCTCATGAAATACCTGGAACATTCAGGTATTATCAACGATAGGCAATATGGCTCCAGCAATCAGAGATCAATTTGGCACATATATGACAGCAATCTATCGAAAAATATGGTGGATCCTCAGCCGTGGCACTTGATATCTTCAGGACATTCGATCGAGTCTGGCACCACGGACTCCTCGCCAAGCTTCCATCTTATGGCTTGCCTCCCCAGCTATGTTCTTTGTGAGCTAGTTTCCTCCCGAACAAGTATCTCTATGTAGTGATCGACGGAGTTTCATCTGACTCTCTTATCCTAAATGCCGGTGATCCCCAAGGATCAATTTTAGCAAAATATTATTTCTACCTCAAATCAACGATTTGTTAGAAGCAACTTCATGTCCAGTACACAGCTTCGCGGATGATAGTACCCTCCATACCGCCTCCTCTTCCAGGGCTCCAAAACCAATTCCGAAACGAGGAATGAATGCCGAAAACATAAATATGGCTTGGCAACAATTCTTGAATGGAGATCCAATCACTTGGTAGATTTTAATGCAAACAAAACACAAGCATGCCTCTTCTCTAGAAAAGCCGATCTCACTGTGCCCATCATAAGCTTGTCAGGAGTAACCATACCTTTGGAGACATCCATTTCGATGCTTGATATTACTATCAGCAATAACCTCTCTTGGGAAAATCACGTGAAATCGATTGCTCAAAGTGAATCCCTAAAACTAAGTTTTCTGTTTTGGACCAGGTGCTATTCCACTTTCAGTCAGCTGCTTATGATCTTTAAGGCACAGATTCGACCTGTCCTGGAATAATGTTTGCATATTTGGAGTGCAGCACCCAAACATACATTGAAATTGATGAATTCCGTCCAAAAAAAAAGGAATCCGTCTCGTGGATGATGCCTCGCTCAAAAACTCACTCACTTCTCTGGAACACCGTGAAAAAGTTTGCGATCTTCCTCTATTCCATAGATATTTTCATGGACGATGCTCTTTTGCAATATCAACAATTGTTCCTCCAATTGTTCGTCCCTTGGCAGTTCCCGCGAGATTAAACCACCGAGTTGAGACTTCGCACTCCTTCGTGGTCATTTTGGAGACCTGCAGAACATCACTTTCCAAAGACTCGCTCATCCAACGAATAGCGAGGCTCTGGAACACATTGACAAAGAAGGTGTTCCTCGAGATATATAACTCCCAGAAATTTGAGGAGAACTCCAATTCCTACCTTATTTCTCTTGGTTCTCACGATGTTCTCTGAATATCACAGAAATCCTTTTTCGTGGAAAACAGAATATAAAAAAAACCTAAGGTGGATAGACATACTGATTTTCATCAGAAGGTCAAAAAGGTTCGAAAAGGAAAATTGAGAGAAGAAAGAGTAGGTATGTGTGCGACAGGGGTCAGCAAAGAGGACCCATGGAGGCCTACTCGCTGAGCAATCGCTTTCTTCTTCTCTCACTACTACTACTTACACATACTTCAATGTTGCCATTGCCAATGATTCATCTTACCATTCATATTTCTTCATTTCTGCTTCAGTAGCATAGGGTTTCTCCTTCAACAGGTATTGTTTCATGCCTTTCCAGATAACAGAAATCGCTCTTTTTGTTTCTGTAGAATTTGGTCGTATGCGGGAAGCCATGAAGGAAAATGACTTTTTGTCGTATTCCAGTAAAGAGTCTTCCAATGCAACGTAATTTTTGCTTCTGATATCAACTGTCCTCGACAAAAATGCATACAAGGCTACGTTAGCTATATAAACCATTCGGTAAATCTTCAGAAATCTGAAAAACAACATAGATAATGTTATTTGAATTATTTCAGCTCATTGTAGAAAAGATAGTATAAAGAAATTGGCACTTCAAAATAGTAGATGTGTTTCACATATAAAACGAATCGAAGAGCAAATTTCCCAGCCAAAGGGAGGTCTTGAAGATATCTCGGCAACCTCCTCTCAGGAAACTGTGACGCCTTTTATTACTTCTTTGGGCGGATGCCGAGAGCACTATTTTGCTCCAAATGTACGCCGCCGGAATATTCTCAACGGGGTCTGAGCGATATTCCACGGAGAAGTTCACATAAAATACCTTCAGGCGAGTTCTTTATGAAATTCGCAGACATAACCTGTATCCGAGAACTTTGAGAGATTCGCATCAATTGCCACAGTATTCGCAGAACCGAATTATTTGAGATATTCGCACACATAGCCTTGTGGCGAAATTCGCGTCAATTCACTCGCAACTACGAGTCAACCAAGGAATTCACGAAGAATGCTCCTGTCGAGGTCTCCGAGAGTTCGCATCTCGAACTGTTCAAGACATTCTTTTGCGAGTTCCTCGAGACATCCTCGTATTCATTTGAGTTACCAAGGATTTTTGTGGTATTCATAGGCTACCAACAGTCGGCTGTCGGCATAGTTTGAATAGCACCAGCTAAGAAGGATATACCATTTCGTTCCAGCCAGGAAACTCCGTAAGTTGATGCTCACGGGCTCTAGCGCTTATGGAATGGAAGCAGAATATAGTAGGAAGGTATTCGATGGTGGTTGATCAACTATGCAAGGTCATGTATCAAAACAAAATATTCATCTTCAGGAACAAATCTGAAATAAAAAGGTATGATTGAAATGTTTCTGCACTGTCCATAAAATCATTCTCCTCAAACTTTATGATTCCCGGTTCTTCACCCTGTATTTTACATCATCATCATCTTGATTGACTATGTTGAACAGAATGATCGATTATATTCCCAGCAAAGTGGGAAGTAGGTGTTATAGAAATATCAAGGTCATACTAGTTTTTACCTACGCTTATGAGTTTATATGGTTAAGAGGAAGTTACAGAGCATTATTGAGGCTCATCAGGCCGATTGGTACAATTTTTACGCGATATCTCAGATTGTATTAGCCAAAATATATTTATGTTTTTCAACTTCTTACATCTGATTTGGGAGAATGATCATATACCAGGTGAGTCAATAGTGTGTTCTCCTTCGATATTAGCCAAACCGTCAGATATATAGAGAAAATTCGAACACAACAGTTGGATGGTTTCATGAGAACTATCACCTAAAATAGTTTTCATATATATATATAGTGTTTTCAAATTCCAAGATATCGGCAGATGATGGGTTCGTTAAATGGGATACCATGTATATTTTCGTATTTTCAGGTTCTCTTTGGAGAGCCGATTCCATCAACGCATGCAGTGAGAATATCTTGTTCACGTTTACCTTACATACGTGATAGCTCCAGAAACTCGCAATAAGAATTTCTTGTTCAGGTTTCGTTCCAGCAGTTCTTGGTGCCAACAAAACATATTAGTTTTATTAGAATATACTTATCAGGTAATCATCTTGCGTTCTAACTGTGCATCTCTTCGAGGGTTATAGGGAAGATTGGGATCCATGTACATTTATGTACATTGAAACTAACTATAGCCGTTTTCAGTCTCAGTAATTAATATATTCATTATGTTATGTTAAAAATGAGATGCATATTACTGTAGTTTATTGTTGTATATTATTGCTGAATCACTGAATGAATATGACTAAATAAATAAATAAATAAATAATCGCGAAAATAGTAGTCGTACCTAGTTCAATTCTGATTGGTCTGTCAACGTTGGTGTTTTCAACGATGAGACCATGAATTTCAAAGAGGAGTATGATATAAGTTTGATATAAAATAAATATTTTTCAAGTATCGCACCAGAATGAAGCTCTTTGGTTATTTGGCATGTTCAATAATTATGAACAGCACTTTATCAAGACTCGTTCATCCATAGAACGGCTAGGCTCTGGAATTCATTGCCTGTGGAAGTATTCCCAACAACATATTATGATCTCCAGAAGTTCAAAACAAATTCCAATACCTACCTCCTGTCCCTGATATCCTCCCTAGGAACGCACGATGTTCTTTGAACATTATAGGGATTCCCTTTCGTGCGCTCCAAGCGATAAAAAAAACAAAACAAAAAATGCTTCGCGAAACAGTCTAGCAAAATACCATTTCGTTCTTAATATTTTCTCATGATTAGGTCTTCCACTGTTAACTAAATTGTGATATCGTACAGAAATATCGCTCGTCCTGATGGACTCGTGATGTTGCTCAGAAACACAATTTAGTGAACAATGAAGCTACAGAATTATCATCTTTAATATTTATAACGTCATGAACGCGCATTTCCAATTCATGCAACCGTACTGAAAACTGAAATTTTTATAGTACCCTGGATTTCTCTTCCCACCAGCTATCCAAGCCATAAGGTTGATATTGAAAACATAATGTCGAGGTCGTTTTCGCCTTCTTCTAGAGGGATTCATTCCTTATTCCACTTGCAAAATGAAGATGAGCACATCGAAACGTTGAGGTATGTCCGGATTCAAAACCAAATACCCACCTTCCCGATAGCGCATTTATTCCAATTGAAGTCATACAGTGAGGAAAAGTCCGTTGCCCCCTCCGCAACTTCTGTATTTTACATACTCATTGCGACTAAATTTCGAATCTATAAGTGAAAGAGTTCCATGCGATCTCCCCGATGGAGTATGTTTCACTCATACATAGTGACTCAAATAAGCGCAGCAACCTACAAGGTAATTTTTTCGAATAGGATATCAGACTCGTTAGGTAAGGAATTATGAAACTATCCTCTCGACTATTCTTCTTCCAATTCAGTGGGAAAACCATCACAAGTGGAAAACAATTTATTTCACTCTCGTTTTCGACCTTCTTGAGAGCTTTCAACATTCCTTTGTAATATGTACAAATAAGAAGTTGACGAAGGAGAGACGGTGACAGACTTTTGGTCCTCACTTATATCGGGTCACTTACTTCGGGTTCCTTGCAGACAAACGTAAAATAGAATCCAAAATGATGGCAGGTATGATATGATATATCAGAGTTGCAATATAAAATATAATAGGATGTTTCACAAATACAGCATATGCGGTCCATAAGTATGAATCTGGTGGATTTCGTGCAATTATTTTATTGCCTTCATCTCTCATGAATTTATGGGTAAAATTCATATCCGATGCGATGTTGTATACTTCAATGATAGGGTTTTTGGACCTACAAAAAATGATAGAATCATTAGGATAGGATCTATCAAAATGTATTCATTGATTCATTCATTTATTCACTCAACAGTTTTGCGGCTCAACAGATAATGATGCCAATAACAGGGCCGCTCAATGAATTATAACATGAATATGAATCATTGATTTTTTGAACTAGTTTTCATCTCATAACATTGTTCTTTATTCAAGTGATGATTAGACCCGACCTGACTTCTATATCAGTTGTGTTCGTTTGTGAAAAGAAATATTCTCAGATAACTCAAAAAACAAAAATATGATATGTGGTATCATTGAATGGATCAATTCATTCTCACGTGTATTGAACTTTTTGTTTTTATACTTGCGTACAGTACTTCTACCTGTTTGAAACTTCTTCGAACTCCTCTGTATTATGGTGTTGAGAGTGACATTCTGCGTAATTGCTAGGAAAATAACTATTACTGAACGTGAGGAGAATTAAATCTGTTATTTCACCTTTAAAAAACCTGTGGAATATACCTACTCTTGGATTGACTATTACAGTATCAAAATAGGCCACGCTATAACGTGGATCTTGTTCTGGAAATTCCTTTACGCAAAATGTGTCATGAAGGTTGTGACGTCCACGTTTCGCGTGGATCTTTCTCTATTAATTAATCCACGTTATTTCCGCTTGGAGTATTTCCTTATGATCAGTCCTCGCATATTCCCCATGGAGCATTCTCTGATGATTACTCCAGGCTATTTCGCGTGATGGAGAACTCTCTTGTGATCAATCGATGTTTGCTTAAAACTTTACTGTCACGTTCAATATCTGAATAGAGATTAATATGGAAGGGTTAATTTCTTGTCGGCGAAGTATACTTCCTTTCAATCGATTTCATTCGAAAAACAACTTGAAAAACTTGTTATACATCATTGTATTCAGAGAACCTTCAACAGAAAAATCGAAAATAACTCAAATGTTGCCATTTCAAAATGAATTTTGATAATTGCTCGCATTAGACTTGGAACAATCGAACGAAAAATTGTTAGATCTGATGTCATGTTCTGCTTTCTTGTTCAAAATGGCTTGAGAAGTCTTGTGTCAGTCAGCCTGTATACTTCAGAAAACTCGTAGCTATTCACACCATAATCGATGGATGATCATGACAAAAGATATATGATATCAGTTGGATCAATCCTTAACGTGAAACAACCAAAGATTGATCACAAGGGAGTTCTGTACGCGAAATAGCGTGGAACAATCATAGGGATATGCTTCATGCAAAATTGCGTGGATCAATCATCAGGGAATGCTTCAAGTGATATTAACATGGATTGGTCATAATGAAAAGTGTTGAGAATTAATTGTGCGTCCGTTTACCTCGCGATAAGAGGAAAGCCTTTCGGCGTTTTATGGAGTTTATTGAATTTGTTGTCATACGAGCAGACATATCATGTTATTGGAAGTCTCATTTCATTCCATCACCTCAATCCTCACTTTTTAGATGGAACTAAATTTTCAATCAGCCAACGACATATCCACTATTTCAGTTTTTTGATGGACATCTGTTCCTTATTCACTATCCGGCTATTGAAACTGCTCCAGCCCATCAGTGTGGACTTTCATTTTGATTGAATCGAATTATATCGAGCTATTTCTGCCTAACTTTCAGCCCACTTTCTGTTCCTGCTCTCGATCTCATTCGTTCCACTGTGTATTGAATCGAGGATAGTAAATTCGTTCAATCATTCGATGGATTTTCCATCAAGATATTTCGACTCATTGATAGCTCCAATTATTTCGTCTATCTTCTAGAAGACGAAACTTTCAGAATCATCTGGAATCAGTATCAAAAAATGTGGTGAAATTCCTGATTCCTTCAATAATTTTTTCACTGAAATTCTACAAATGCACATTTTTTAGTGATTTTCCTCTGTTCCTCTGTTGTAGATGAATAGTTAACACTTCTCATCACATAAAAATATGTTTCCAGAGGAGTAATTTTCCCGTTTTCTTTAAATTCGTTTGTTTTGGTACCATATTCCTTCGATCCTTTCAAAGTTGAATGATTGGATGTTTCATGCCATACATCTACTCTCAATCTTTGATCTGTGCTAGCAGTTTGATGAATTTCTAATAATTCATTCAATATCGATATCATATCGATATGGCATTGGAATTACGAAACATTATCGAAATTTTGTCACTTCTCTAATCTCTTTATAATTATCAGAATCATCAGAATGAATCATGATCGAAATTAGATTATTTGTTTTACTAATGATCAAGAATAGTCCTAATGCATATTCAATGAATTAAGGAGTTTGTACTTACTGAAAGATTTTTTTCCAAGTTGCTATGACTAGAGCTTTAGCTGTGTTGTCGACAAAAACATTATCGTGCTCACTATCTTCATCAGCATATATCACTCTCACCAATCCTGAAAAATGAACTTCTATACAGAAGGCTGAACAATAATGATCTCACTCGTAGATGAAATCGAGGTTGAGAGCAGTTATTCGGCTAGTAGGCACACATCAAGATGAATGAATGACGAGTGAACTTGAAAGCTTGAAGCAGATGACACTGATGAGGTTTTGGAAGTCATATCAGCTGTCAACTTTTGTGCATTCATTCGCAGGAACGGGATCATTACACCAAATTTTATCAAGAATCGTTATTGAAGAGCTTCAACAATGTATTATTCCTTTGTGTTCCTCGAGAACATCTCGAATGAGCACATCATACTAGTCCATGGTAGAAGTCTATGGTATCTCAACGTGGAGTGAGAAGATTTATAAACAAACAGGCCACGCTAGACAACCACAGACCGGTTTCGAGTTCTTTGACTCTCATCAGTGCAGTGTAGTCTCCAGCCAGCAGTCCTAGGACCGCCGACTCAGTGAAGCCTAGCCAAACAAAAATCAATAGGCTTTCAGAAAAAAATCACTTCCGTATCCGTATCAGTATCCGTTTATACGAGTCGATGCATAGATTTCGGGACGATGTAATTCAATGTTCTGCGTGGCATCAGCCAGGAATCTACCATTGTTGTTTATTTTTTGAACATTGTGTGTAGAAGACTTTGAGCTTTTCGTATTTATTCAACTTTTCATTCCACTTTGAGCATTATTGTGGCTATTTCGTAGTTGAAATAACGCTAGTCGGGCAACCAGCCACTCCCGAATGGGAATTTCGGTTTTGGAGTTATTGTTTTCTCTGTTCTACTCGGATGGCGTTACTTTTATATTGTCGATGAGAGACGCCTCGGGATGAATATAATGCCGACTTGATTTTTGTAACACTAGGCTTCACTGAGTCGGCGGTCTTAGGACTGCTGGCTGGAGACTACACCGCATTGAAGAGAGGCAAAGAACTCGAAACTGGTCTGTGGTTGTCTAGCGTGGCCTGGCTTAATCGAAATCAATAGGCATTCAGGAAATAATCACTTGTGGCATCAGCCATCAGAAGATAGTCAATTTCATTTACTATACGGTAGTCAATTTCATTTACCGTACTCGTTTTCAAAATCGAATCATCATGAATTCGATAGCGAAGGAGTTTTCAGAAGCAAGCCGAGAGCTCTTCAGAATCTGGTATTTTCCTGATCAGCTCAGATAGAGGCAAGGGTGGCAGCAGGCAGACGAGTGAATGCCTGTACTCCTACTTGGTTCGCTGTACACTCATGATTGCTAGAAACGGACTGACTTCGAATTCAGGTCGCTATTTTCTATGTATTGCATGTGCGTATATTTCATTCCTGAGTTCGAATTCTCATTTCTCCACATACCTTTTCCCGCCAATAAATTAATAGACATGGGTCCATTGAAATTGTCAACCCATCCATCTATAGGATCTCTCGAGCTTGGTAGAACTGAAACATATGATTATTTTTATTTCATTCATCTGAATAACTATCATGTTGATTCGATTTCAATATCCAAATGATAATCAACTTTCCCCATGATTTTGTATTCAGAGTTTCTGAGTGAACATAAAATATTTTATATACAGTGTGTGCCATCTGGAAGAAGGCAGTACTCGCCACAAACTCTCTATGCTGCTCAGTAGAGCGTGAGAATATGATCATTTTTCCATAAGAATGTTTGTTTCTTTCATGTTGGAAATAGGTGACTCTTCTGTTTTCTGTACATAATCAACTGATCCCGAAATGCATTTTGATTTAGAAGGGTTCATACAGGATGTTGTGATGTACGGAATTTTTCACAATATATTGCATTCTGATGTTGAACGAACCAGGACACAACTTCAACAGACTTCCAGATTAGCTCAATGCTATCACTTTGATACATACCAAAAATAACATCATCAACTGTTTTAGACGAGCCATGGTTTCCAGAGTTCCAAAGTTATGATATTGAAATTTGCCAGAGGTGTAGGATTCGAGAATTGGTCTATTTCGCAATATTTTATATCCTTTTATCATTTCTAGTTCCACCAGTTACTACTTCCTGTTTCCGATCACCAAATGAGACATTTCGCATTCCATTGCATAAGTGGTCAGGGATTATCATAATAAATTCAACGATAATGGGTTTGATAGGGTTATTTCGAATGATTACAAAAATATCCAAGCTCGAAACCATATGCTTAATAACTGTGACAGAGGAAGCAGTTTCTATATTGCGACGTCACACCTATTGAGCATATGGCGATCTCGAACAAGAATTATATCCGTAACCGTTCGTAATAATCCTATCAAATCCAGTATCGTTGAATTCGTTATGATAATTTTCAACCACTTATAGAATGAAATACAGGATGTTTTGTTGAAAATTTGGAAGTAGGGGTGGTTTCCATAGAAACCGGAAGTGATTGGATAGTTTGAAATATCGAGAAATTTCACAACTCTAGAATCAAACATCGCTGCAGAGTTTGAATATTATACCTTCGGAACTCTGGGAGCTATGACTTTTTATACGACGCTATACATATAATATTACATATAATGATAGAAATATCTGCCTAGATGATACATAAATTAACATTCCACTACTATAGAGATATAAGTCGCCTTCATTTCTGAATAAACAACAATTACTTATTCCAGTTTCCAATTTTTCTTCGTTGGTGGATACATCGGACATGATTAACATAACTATCTTCTGCTTGTTAGTCAATTCGCATAATTGAATGTCTCGAAGGATTCTCGTGTAAACTCATTTAGCATTATTGAGATGTACCTGAGATGTAATCCAAATCGTCTCTATGAAATTCATGTGTTCGTATAAGATATATTTCCAGAAGAAAATATTGAATATGTCTACCTCCCAATTCTGTTGTAGAGAATTCTGATATAAATACATTTCATAAAAAACTATCAGGATTTTTCTTTTCGAATTCGTTCCTTGGTTTCAGTAGTCATTTCACTCTGGTAACTCATAGGAACGTTTAATGATGAAGATGTTATTACTCTTCTCATGATGACATTTTATCATCCTTTGAGCGGCTTTGCTTTATACTCACAAAGCTCTCTTTACTCAAGCGCCAATTATTCATCGAACTGTTTAGTTTTGGAGTGAATCATTCCCATAACGATTTTCCAAAAAAAAATTCAATATAAGTGATATCCAATTCGAACGTGATAATGATTGATTAGGCAAATCGTTATGATTTTTTTTCAACATTCAAACGTTCAAAACGCTTCCTTGTGAACCTACCAATATGTTGCTTGTGACCTTACACTTTTTCAGTGAACATGAATCCTAGGCAAATATAGAGAAGGCTATTCATGTGATTTCAGTGCGATAGCTCACACAATAATACTCAATGTGGAATATTATGCATATTCCTTACACTGCTGCCAATGAATGAGTCCGCTTTCCTCAATCTTCAATCGCAATATGATTACGAATGATGAATCGGCCGCTTGTAATGAGACATTCCTCAGGCGTTCTTTTCATTACTGGGGTGATTTGAACTTTGGCGCCAACATAAGCGATCTTTCGTACTAATATTTTCCCAAAGATATTCTGGTGTGGCTCTCTTCCCGAATATCACTTCAGCTTCAATTTAATAGAGCAAAATTCTTTTAGAATACGTATATTTCTCAAATTCTTTCGCGTAGCGACTATTCGAAAAATGCGCCCCCATCTCCAAATTCGAAGAAAATATGTGTATTGTTATTTCAGTGTATATAATATTGTAACCTGAATACTAATATATTTTTATCTCATTTTATCATGAGTGGAAATCGGCTCGACAGACAGGAAGCTGTCAAGTATAACACAAATAAAATGACAAACATTCTCTGAATACAACAAGGAGATATACTGATGATTGATGGGTAGTGATCATAATAATAAGAAAATGGAATTGAAATCTGAAATGACGTCATGAGAATCAATATTATATAAAGAATATTTTTTTCAATTGATAAGTATTATTCATATTATCAGAAAAACAGCGATGGATCATGATGAAAAATGAATCAACTCAATTATTTCGCATTATTGATCGAACTCGACATTTCTCAGTTGAAGTACCAAATATGAGACTTATTCGTATCTGAGCAGTCGATGTGTTACTTCATTGGATGACTACCTCAATGTTTTTATCAACTGCTCAGATTTTCATGCAGGGTTAATAGGAGAAGCAGAAATATTAGAATTAGTCAATAATAATAATAATTATATTAACCGATTCATCAAGTGATAGAAGGATATTTGTCCACATATTCGAAGAGAGCTCGATGAGTACTGTATCATCAAATTTTCGTATTCGAAATTTCCTGATGGTTATGTGCTGAAAACAATCATTGGTTCATAAAGTTGAGTATGTTTGAATATTGAATCACAGGACAGGATCATTTTGAGTGTTCAAGATTTGCAATGAGTGAGTGCTTACCGATGGACGGCCTTGTTATAATAGCTGGGATTTGATTCGTACACAAATCTATCACGAGTTGTTCTGCCATCCCTTTAGTGAAAGTATACGTATTTGGCAATGGATCGATATATTTTTCTGTCAATACTTGTAAGGTCATGTCGTCGTATTTTTCAGCCAATTCTATCGCTATCCTCCAATCATGTTTTGGGGGATACACCTTCTCTTCTATCACGTTTTGATCAAAATTGCTGTACGCCGTTGAACAGTGAACGAATACATCCATTGATGCACATCGTTTGGCCAATGCGATAACTTCTCTAGTGCTCCGGGTGTTGGCAAAAATGGCTGATTTCAAAGAATCGTTGAATCTCACAGAAGCTGCGATATGATATATTATCGACACGTTGTCAATGAGTAATGAAGTATCAGTCTCATTCATTCCTGAAAATACAATATTGTTATATCTACTTATATGTGTTCGATATGAACATATCTCGTAAGAACTTTGTGGACGAGCGCATTAATGAACCATGTTTAATCTCGATACGAAATGACAATTTCAAAATTAGCACTAGGGAATATAATTAACTAGAAGTTCCCAATGAAGTATTCCAAAATAAAATATCATGTATTGAAAACGAATATTCTCAGATATAGGGGCGAGGTAGCCGTGCGGACAGAGTGTGAATATTCTGATCCACATTTGCTTGCCGGTCGTGGGTTCGATTTCCATCAACTGCAGAAATTCTTCTGGTGGCCTAAGAAAGTGTTTGAGATCACACGTTAAAAGGTAAGGCCCCAGTCATTCCCTCCTCGCACAAGACTCTCGAAGACTTCTGAGGGTTGCTCGTAAGGGGGCAACCTAATGACGGATTGAACAATTTTGGAACAATTCTCAGAACAATATCATGAACATGTAAGGAAATGTGAACAAATGAAACCTGATTGTTCTAGGTGGCGTCCCAATCTGGTACAGTTCAAGTCGGAATATCCCAGACCTAGAATAATTATCATTAGGTCGTTCCATACCGTTCATCTCATCCAATGTCTGCCCAAGTAACATCAATGCTCTTATTCCGATATGTCAGATAGCTTCGAAACTACACAATAAGATGTCGAATAAGATCAAATGATCTTCAAAATAGCCCTGACCCTCATGAAGCAGCTTCTAGCCAAAATGGGTCAATCATAAAAAGGCCTTCAGGACTGAATTTGAAACTATACTGAAACCATTTAGTTTCAATTCCATATTCTTGAAGAATGCTTCAGGACAACTTTGAATACATTGGAAAGATCTTAGTATCTGACGTTTTGCTCTCGAAATGTATTTGAAGAGTAGTTGATTGACTTTAAAATAATAAATCAATCCTGAAAGAGTTTTTTACTCTTTGTTCAATAACACTCGACTACTTCGAAGTCTGTATGATGGCTGGCAGAGTGATAATATTTCGAACCGCATATTATAATGTATATTCGATATATCATGAGATGATATTCAAAAGCAAACTAATTTGGTGGAAGATTCACCAATGATTGGTACTTTTCTGATGAAATGTATTGAAATACTTCATAAATACTCGAGCGCAAATTCAATGAATTTCCTCATTTTCAATAATAAATAATGAGATATTATCTGATTTTATTTTGTTTTTGAGCAGCTAAATGCATTCTTTTCTTCGGATGGCATATTTCGACACACCGTTCTTCTGTTTTCTGAGAAGATCCAAGACACACACGAACTCGGAAGGATCGCAATTTCAAAATGTTCATATTTGTTTCCAAGGAATTCAAGATTTATGAAACAGTAGGTATTCCTTCAGGTTTGACGAAAGACTGGTAGATGCCATAGAGACTCTTTCACTACTAGGAACAATTCTAAAGTTATGATGTGAGGCAAAATGGTAGTTGAGAAAACTGTCAGAACTTTCAGTGTCGACAAGACGATTTGCCATTCTGTTATTCATTCCAGCTTCGATCAGACTTTTATGAAAATTTTGTGGAAACATTGGGCTTGCCGAAGCAAGGAGCGATTTCGAAGCCGGAGTTGATCTCGATTCTTACTTTTCATGCATACTTGAGCACAATGTACTCTTTTTCATTTTCAGTAGTTACAGATGACATATCGAGCAGGGCATTCAGCACGCTAATGTTCAGCACCCCCACAAAAATAAAATTTTTCAGCAAAATCTGAGGCAGACATGAGTTCAGAATGGTTCAGAGTGAGACTGATTTTGTTCATCAGTTCCTATAGCAGATGCAGCATTGAGGGCGCTATCTGGAGGTGAACGTTTGCGTGCATCTTTTGAGGATCTTGTTTGGGAAATAGCTTCCACTAGATTCGGAGTTTTGTTCTCAAGTAATCTTCGTCGAATTTCGTTTGATGATAATTCATTCATGAAGGCATTTCGAATGTAGTCATTTTTGTTTTGCTCTATGCTGACTTTTAAGAAATAACAGACATTGAAATAGACTCTGTCGGCTCAATTTCGCAAAACATAAACGGGTTCACAAATGATGGTATGATTGACAAAAACTGTCAGAGGAAGATCAACAACTTCCATATAAGTGAAGTATAGGGTGATAAATTAATTATCGCAGCAGGCCAATTCATGAAGGAGGCGGAGCGAGCAGATTTATGAGAGTGAGAAAGGTTATTCCCACCATGCAGGTTATGCAGGCCGTGCGTTTTAAGGGAGCCGTGCGAGCTACGTTAATCTCTTTATTACTATAGTGTTATCCAATTCATTGATTGACGAGAAATATCGGTTCATTGATTTCTAAGAGGGAGCATTCGATACGATCGATCTTGAATGTCCGCAAGCTGGTGTATTGTTTCCACTCCTCTGGAACCTGGTGGTGAAAGACCTGCTAGTCACACTAGATAGGAATGGACATGAGATACTTGGGTACGCAGACGATATAGTCATCACAGCTGGCTGCATATAATTCGTCAGAACGTATTCTATCAACACCGTATTATATCAAAATATATTCGGTCAAAATGGTAATTCAACAGAACCGTAATTTAACGGAGCAGTAATTCATCGGCATGCAAAACATCATAATGTAATCTATCATGTTGTAAAATGAAGGAATGTACTCCATAAGAACGTAAAACATCATACCGTACTTTATAGAAATGGTAATTCATCATAACCGTATTCCATCAGAATGGTATTTCATCAGAATCGTATTCTGACAGCACGGTGAATCAACAAAACCGTATTGAATAAAAGAGACAATTCATCAGAACCGTATTTCGTCGCTTCAGTAATATATCATAATGGTGAATCGTCATGATGGTAAATTATCAGAACTGTAATCCGTCGGAATATTATTTTGTCAGCAGTGTATAGTATCGGTACTGTAAAACATCATAACCGTATTTCAACAGAACTGTAAATCATCAGAACTGTGTTTCATAAGAACCGTAATTCATCGCTTCCGTATTTCATCAGCATATCAATGTATCATAATCGTATTCTATCAGAACGCTAAATCATCATAACCGTATTTCATCAAAACTGTATTCCATCAGAACCGTATTGTATCATCACGGTATTTCGTCAGAATGGTAATCCATCGTCGGTACAGTGCCCTATCGGGAACGGAGTATCGATTTTCTGTCCGCTTTCCAGGTATGCTATGCGATGGCGCTGGTGAATGCATGTAAGAAATAAATAAGTATCTGATCAGAATAACTATTCTAGCATGAAATATGTTATTCTGAATGAGATCTCGATAGAATTTCACCTCAAGAATCTTTGTAAGCTTCTCAATATAGCTTCTCAATGTGGGATCGTATATTTTTTATATTCTTATTGTCGGTGTTTGATAAGTGTATAGAGAGGCAGTTAGTTTCAACTGCCTGCGTGCGGTATCAATTATCAGGAATTCAGTTGTACCTACGTAAATTAGATTGAAAAAAAAACCTTATTCAATTTAGAATTTCCTTACACTCTGTAGATATGCATCTTATCGAAATGTTATATCTATACAAGAATATATAGAGAAACAAGGTGCTTTCAGAGTCAGAATGAGATGGATCGATGAAAAATGTCATGCGTATACAGGGTGAGTCACAATAATTTGAGCCCGTGACGAATTTCAAGATCATCAGATAAATAACCTAATTTTGAAGTTGAAAGTTCGTATCACCGTATATCCTGAACTCAATCCGTTCTGTGATAAGGTGTCAGGAATTGGATTACGATTTGAAATTTCAATAGGCTATCGACTGCTGAATTAGTTATAGGTCATCATTTATTTAGATTTTTTTGACCCATGGAGTACTTACGGTCGCATATTACCACATTATTCTTCATATCACCATTTTTAGATATCAGAATTATTCAACATTAGTTTTACATCACACATATTTCATGAACCTGAACTCTCAAGTTACCGAGATGAATGCGGAAAACGAAATATTTCACATCCCCATTCAGAATAATGATTAATATGTCAGTTGTCACTTTGCTCGCAGTGAGATATAAAAAATGGAATCACTTTTTTTGATTTGGTTCGGATGGAATGTTTTATGTTTCTACCTGATTCTTTGTTCATCGTTCGATGACTATTTTCATGTTGTATCCACACTTCTCAAATCATTTGTTCTTCAACACTTTAACTGTCGCAATCACACAACCTTTTGAGTTCTCATGAGCTTGGACAACACCATGCACATATTCGTTGCATACGTCAACAATTCAATGTATTTACCCACATCTTGCAAGCAATATCAAGGATATATTTTTTCAGGGGTAGCTGGAACCACACTCAACAAGTTGTTTTCAAATGCAACTCTATGGCATGTGACCACTCATTGGAAATCAGGTGGAAAGAGGAATCTAGCAAACGGGCAAAAGTTTAGGTTTTTGTACGTCTCCGAACATTTATTTCAGAAATGATTTTTCAAATTTTTGACGGATTTTTAGTTGCTTCGGAAGAACACAGAATTCAATGAACGCACTGTATTCAAATTCTATGTGTGATATATCTTTGAATCCAGCTTCCCATGGATATTTCAGCAATTGAATAATATTTAGGATGTACCATTTGAAAAATGGGGGATGTTCCGCAGTGGTTGTCGAGTTGGCATCCCGCCCGGTACATCCCTAAGTTATCCTATTCGTGTCCCTGGAATATCTGATATCGATTCACGGTCATTGAATGTATCAGAACTTCTTAAGAAATTACCATTTTTCGCAAACAGAAATCGTAAATGCATAATGCCCCTCATTTTTAAACAAAAATGTATAAATTCAGGTTTCTGTAGTTCAGTCCTGTTCATAAATTCGTTCAGTACATGAATCTTCAGAAGGCATATCAGCTAATGGAGTAAGGTGCGTGCATTATGAGCTGAAGGTCCCGAGTTCAATCCCTACTCGACCTACATTTTTTCCTCTTGTCGAAGGGATGTCCCTGGAATATCCCTGGGA